AGGAACTCCTGAATCGACCAGCTCCACTGAACCCACCCAACATCGAAGCAGCATCCACGGACCTCCCAATTAATAATGGCGCACCTACGATTGAGGAGAACAGTATGGCCATCAGACAAATAAAGAGCGGCAAAGCAGCAGGACCAGACAACATTTCGGCAGCGGCAACGAAAGCAGATGTAGAAGCAACTGCGAAAATATTTCACATCCTCTTCAAGAAGATTTGGGATGAGGAACAAGTACCATCAGATTGGAAAGAAGGATACCTGATCAAAATACCAAAGAAAGGAGATCTCAGCAATTGTGATAACTACAGAGGCATCACACTTCTCTCAATACCAGGCAAAGTCTTCAACAGGGTATTGTTAAACAGAATGAAGGACTTCGTAGATGCCCAACTTCGATATCAACAGGCCGGATTTCGTAAGGATCGATCGTGTACTGACCAAATTACTACATTACGGATCATTTTGGAACAATCAATTGAATGGAACTCACCACTCTACATCAACTTCATTGACTACGAGAAGGCATTTGATAGCGTGGATAGGAAAACACTGTGGAGGCTTCTTCGACACCACGGTGTGCCTGAGGAGATAATCAACATCATACGAAGTGCTTATGATAGATTAACCTGCAAAATCGTGCACGGAGGTTATCTGACAGACTCTTTCGAGGTGAAGACAGGTGTCAGGCAAGGTTGCTTACTCTCACCCTTTCTCTTTCTCCTGCTCATCGACTGCATTATGAACACGTCAACATCTGGAGGGAAGCACGGTATTCACTGGACAGCTAGGACTCAGATGGACGATCTGGACTTCGCAGATGATCTGACTCTTCTATCGCACACGCAACAACAAATGCAAGAGAAGACGATCAGTGTAGCAGCAGTCTCTGCAGCAGTAGGTCTCAAAATACATAAAGGAAAAAGCAAAATTCTCCGATGCAACACAACATGCACCAACCAAATCACTCTTGATGGAGATGCCTTGGAGGACGTTAACACCTTTACATATCTGGGCAGCATCATCGACGAGAAAGGTGGATCCGATGCAGATGTGAGGGCCTTAGTAAGTAAGTAAGCCATCACTTCTGCATCGGATCCACCTTGATTGTAAGTAAGTAAGTAAGTAAGTAAGTAAGTAAGTAAGTAAGTAAGTAAGTAAGTAAGTAAGTAAGTAAGTAAGTAAGTAAGTAAGTAAGTAAGTAAGTAAGTAAGTAAGTAAGTAAGTAAGTAAGTAAGTAAGTAAGTAAGTAAGTAAGTAAGTAAGTAAGTAAGTAAATTATGTACCGGTGTTTGACGTTCTAATCGTTAATTATATATTCGTTTAGTGATATTTCGTATAACTAAGTGATAGTCAAATTTACTTTGAGCAGTATTACCGTTGGCAGGCTTCTCAGTGAAAAACATAACTTCACTGATAGTATATCACCTAAATTACACTTTTTTTAAAGAAATATTTTGTTAACTGTTTAGTTATTACATTACCATAAAGTTACTAAAATCTCTTTTATTCACTTGACAAGTTGAACTAGAAACCTTGTTTTGTGTAGAATTTTTTTGATTACATAGTTTTGAGCTTGATTTCCACATTGTTTAAGTGTGAAAGCTAAAGTGCTAACATCACAAGACTTTTCAATGCTGGTGACATTATAGAAAAACTAACTAATCATAGAATTTAAGTTACTTTAAATCTACTGAAAGAGTCATTCAATTGGTGAGCGTATAATTTATGAATTCACCTAATCTAAAATGAATTCATGTACAATCCGATTTTAATCGATTCACAGTAGGCGGTCATTTTCATTTCATTTCAATTAATGTAAATACAGGCTTAAAGGCATCAGCCAAAGGATAGACAGATTATCACAAGATATAATTATACTGAAAGTATAGATAAATGAGTTATACAAATTTTATATGTTAATTTGAATTCCTATGGTATTTTTTACTAGAATAAAAATTTTATGATTGAAAACTCTTATTCATGAGTCTGTTTATGATAATCTAGGGATTGGCCTACGGTCCATTGGGGGTTTCCTTGATAGACTTTTTTTCGATGACCTGATAACAAAATATGTGAATCAAATTAATTTTATTTCATTATTTAGTATAAGCTGTAAATTCACCAGTGCACTAACACTGATCGATAAAAATGTATTTTTTTTTGAAAATGCAATAAAGTTCATTGGCATCCAGTAGATAATCAGTGAGAAATTCTGTTTTCATCATTTGTGTCGTGATTCTCTAGAAGATTGAACGTCAATGAAACAAATTTTAGGTAGTCTCTTGTAAACAATAGTGTTGCTTATCATTCCGATTTAATATATAGCTGAAGTACAATGAAGTATTTATATAGTTTAAAGCATCGTCAAAAAAATATCTTAGGCACTATCAATCGATCAGTACTGAGGATTCGATGAATCCGCCTATCACCATGTACTATCTACAAGGTTATTGAACCAAGAAATTCGATAAGTTATTTAAAGAGTTTCTATATTCACTCACTCATAGTCATCTAATTAACTTGAGGGGAAATTCTTTTCAGAATATTGTCCATTCGAAGGTTATCTGTAGCTTTCTGTCATTGTGCAGTGTTGAAGAAATCTCAAAGTTAAATTGTGACGTTGACTGCACAATATTTGTTTGAATTTCATTAAAGATTGTTAATAGTCAGCTCTTTGACTACCACTTTTAACTATAGATAAGGGGCAGTTTTATACTATCATTGAATCAACACTGATTTCGATCTCGTATTCAAAATCTTTTGTTAAACTGTCATTTCTTCAATTTTATATATCAGCAAATTAGTGGAACTTCTTCACAAATGCTCTATTTCAATGGCCAGAAATATAGTATGATTTTTAACAGAAGTGGATAGTAGCTAGAACAATGGAATCCATGATAAGTGTTTTGTCTTATTTGCAACTCATCCACTGGATTCACCTATATCCCAGAGTGGATATGCACTCAATAAAACTTGAAACTAGCATCTTTCGCCTCAAATACCATCACATTATTGCCTTAGCTACTGATTACAGATAACAACTTGCTTGTGCAATGAGAAAGATGAAGATTAATTCCTTTGGCTTGGTTGGTTGAATCTTCTTGCTGATGTTTAAGACTGCCATTGTTCCATCTCATTCAGTATGTGTGCCTGAATCGGGAGAAAAAGGAATCCAGACTGGATGAATTAACTGGGTATTGTCTCTTTTTTTATGCTAAATATCCAATCAGTGATTATTTAGTGCTCGAATAGACGAAGCAAACTGAATCAGTTGATCATCACTACTAACAGACACTCTCACACAGAGCTATCTCACTAACATACACAAAAATCTCGACTGATTTAACTAATTCAAAGAGATTTTCACCAGTGAGCCAATATCAACTAGTGAACTTGTAAAAATTAGCCGTTCATTTTTAACTTTTAGCGTCAATGTTTTCAATTGTTCACTGTGGACACAATTTAAATTACTGTAGCATTCAATCTGTTGTGTTAGTTTAAGTTTTTATTTTAAGTTCAAATCAAATCAATTCTACACTTGGTCGATTAGATTAAATACATGTATTGAATATTTGTCATACAAATGCATCATTGTGTCTTTCAAAACAAAAAAAAAATTAACAAAACAACCAGTGATGTAAATGAAAACTGGCTAAAACCCAATTAATGGAGTAGTAGTGTCATAGAATTGGTAAAATACACTTTTGTTTTTATGATGTGGGAATAAAAATATGGTGACTTTTAAAAAGAGACGATGAATTGTTTATGGAAACATTAAATAAGTGTGTGTGTGTATGTGTGTGTGTGAAAGAGATAGAGAAATAACCGAACTGAACAAGGAAACTGTCTCGTTTGCTTCAAACATTTAATATTCCACTAGTCGCCTCCACATACTTCATATCACGATCCAGTTGACAAGCTGCACACAATGGACAAAAGTATTCTTTCAAACAATCTCTGAACAAAGTACCCTAATAATACATTTAAAAAAAAAAAGAATAGAGAATGTATTGAAAAGCGATAGGATGGGAATTTCAAAAAAACATCGGACATCATTATTTTTTTGACAAGGGTTAACTATAAGATAATTAAACGATTTAACTCTAGGTGAAATGTTTGTTTTTTTTTCGTTTGAAAATTCATACTCGACAGATGGCGGAAATGACACTAGGCTAGGCTAGTAGTTAGCTCATTAGTTTACTACTTTCACTATTGAACAATGAATAGTTTAACTAAAAAGTGGCACAGATAAAAAAATTTGAAATAACCTATCAACTGAGCATATGATATTTTTTCACACACATTTTCTTGATGAGCATCAGTTGACAATCCGGCTGAGTATATCATATACCATGTGAGCTGTATCGCATAGAAAATAAGACCAATTGATTCTGTATTCTAATTTATGCCTTGATTACAATTTAAGGGTTTCATGTAAATATCTACAATAATGGCGGATCGGTTTGTTTCTTTCGAGTGTTTACTTTACTTGTGGTTGGAAAAAAAGTAGGTAAAGTAGCAACACCGACTGGGACTGCCACAATTATTTCACACATCGAATATAATGCCACTTGCTTCATATTCTAGTTAAAATTTAATCATAAGAAACTTGTGGTCTCAGACCAAAAGGCATACTACTCAGATGTTTGGATTATGTTGACAATGTATGGTTCGATATATGCACTAGATTGAAATTGTTCAGAGTTCCAGATTAGAAAAGAGTGTTTGTCTCACTCTTACAATATGCTCATTATGCATCCATCTACAGTCGGAATTTCATATTTATCTGATTTCAAAATGCTTGACTGTAGGTCAAGCCTAAAAATTTAAAAAAGTTGCCTAATTAGAAAATTATTTCTAAGTCATCTTCTATACATGAAACAAGAAGGAAAACAGTTGACCCTTCAACTTTGTTTATCAAATGGACAGCTTATTTTTAAAAATATCTAGCGCTTAATCTCTATGAAGACGAAAAAGAGGAAGAAGGCAATAGGATGCTTGTTGCTGCTACTGGGTGACCGGTTAATGTTTTACTGAAAAAAATCTCATTTTTACACAGTTGGATTTAATCCTACATTTCCGTACATATTTTAGGATGAACTCAGTGATAAAAAGTGGAAATTTCGGCATGAAATCCACTCCTCTAGGAAATTATGTCAAATAATTCATTAAAATATTACTGGTTAGTGTTATTTAAACCTACTTAATTACTAGTAGTGTGGCTATCATACAGTCCTAGTGAAAAGCAATTATTCTTATGCCTTGTATGAATAGCCTCCGAGATCACAGTCTTATAGTGAACATGAAAAGGTTTAGTTTCTTGAACCTGATTATGAATGAAACTCTCAATGGTTCTTAATAAAACATCGATTTTTTGATTAAATCTGAAAATCAATCAAAATGATGATGAAGATGATGATTACCAACCTAAATTGATATATATTTCCATACTTTCAGCATACTTACGTGTGTGTCACAGGTTGGACAAAGTTCAGGTTAATATTAATTATCACTTTTTGAGCACAAATTTCTAAGGAAAAGCCAATTGTCCATGTTTTGAATAACCTAACAACTTCTTCACGATCTGATAATTGTTTGTACAATTCACTTGATAAGATGTAGGTTTGCTTAAATCAAAGCACTTTTTAAAGACAAGTATAATCTTCTACTGGTGTGTTGTGAATAGGTTTTTTAAGAAATGTCAGTAACATATATTAATAGTCTCTTTTTCATGTTATTTAGAACTAATTTTGATCGTATTTCCATGAAATTATTGTATGAAATACTGGTTGATTTTGTTCCAATACGTCATTGTGAAATAACCTGTTTCATAAATAAGGCGTTCAAATACATTGACAATTAGTGCTGTGAAAATACTCATCATGGTTTATATATGAGTAAGTTACTTCAGTAAAGTGTTTTTTTTTGGTCGCATACTCAAATTTTGATACCTGTTTATATGAGCATTTAAGATTGCTTTGCATACTGGATATTTCTCAATACAAGAATATAGTCGTGTTTTTAGAAAATTTCCTACGTAACATAGGGAGAAAGAGCTGGTAACTTAGATATTTCCTTGCAAAACTAATAACTATGTGAAATAGTTCGTTATTATGGTAGATAAACTAACCAATTCATCGATAAGTACCATATCAATTGACTATAGTTCACAATACAAGATAAGTTTATTGAATAAATTACATGAAGCATGTGTTTAGAGTTATTCATTTGAAGAGGCATTCAGTCATTGCATTCAATAGAATTATACTTTCAGATCATGTTTGGCTAGCAATATGCAATCGTAACTTTATAAACGAATCGATTCTATCATAAAATAAATGAATGCATTAATCACTGACTTGAATATTACTGTTTTCTTCGAGATTTCAACTCAGTAAACACACGAAATCAATAAGTGGTGAGTGATGTGAGGAGATGCAATTAAAACTCAAAGACAAACAAATACTTTACCAAGATGGTGTAAGTAATGAACTTTGAAAGAGATATTCTGGTTTAAGTGAAAGTTTTTTCAAAACTAGTGTGTTTACAAAATCCTATTTCTAAAACAAATCATGTTTCTTAAATCATTATTTATAGATTGTCAGATAGTAGTTCTAACACTATTATAGCATGAATATAATTGTAGTGTTTTAGCTAAACACTGTTAAGATTGGACTTGAACTAAACTACTTGTATAATATTCTTAGATAATTGTAACCTCAAAATCAGAAAACTATATCAAGACAATCTGTCAAGTGAAGATTACTTCTTTGTATAGTATGCATAAAGTTCATAACATATCTGTCCTGTACATGAAAGAAAAAAACAACTCGACAAGATAGTTTGAAACAATCGGTTAAATATTTTTTTCTTGATAAAAATGTCAAGTAACTTACTTGTATACTGTGTTTAGCTCGATGATATGCTCTCAAGGTAAGACCAGGGCAGAGAATGAAACATGGAGCTGCGCAACATTCATCATATCGACGATACATGTAGCACATGTAACAGGGATAACAGCAAAACACAAGCCAACCTAAAATTCAATAATAAACAAAAAAAAATTGTCTTAATGCCAAGTTTGATGCAAAGTAAACAAACAAACAAACAAACAAACTGCAAAAGGGTTATTTTGTATTTTAGTTTTTATCATTTACTCGCAACGATTAGTTAGTTTGTATGTCTGACATGTAAAAATTAATATTTCTCAAATATGCTGCGTTAGTTATGCAATTCGTCATATTGTAAAACGTAAAAGACACCAAGCTTAAGCAGAAAATGTTATGGTTACATGCTTAACACAACCTAAATGAGCATGGTCTAGCTGAAAAAGAGACCATGAAGACTTGTAGTTCAAGTGTAAGCTGAAACAGCTCTCTATTAATTAGTGCTACTCCGTAGTAGCTTAACTGATACTACACGGCTGAAAATGCAATGATGCCTGGAATTTTAATAAAAAAATAATATAGTTGTAGTATTTCAATGAGTAGAAAGGTTACTTATTCTCAGAACAAGTGGCTTGAACTTCTTAGTCACAAAACATCAGAAAAATTTTAACTTTCCTACTCATTCGGATACCATAAACATATTATTAACCATTCATCCAATGCTCAGTTTATTTGAAATTATCAAGTCAAACCATGAGGCAATAATATCTATGAGGTTTTAGAGATTTTCATTGAGACTTACAATCAACATCACTATTAAGATTAACACTAATTTATCTCTTTCTGGTCTCATAATACACCAAAAGAAGATAGTCCAAGTAGACAGATTTCTTATGTACATTCAGTAGTAAGGAAGATTTAAATCTTTCATAAAATCAATTACAAATGATAGAATTCCTTAACGCTAAATCACACTTCACTTTTGCCATTTCTTCTTATTTCACAATTGAAAACTAATATAAAAAAAATGCAACCTACATGAATTACAATCATTTGTACAATCAAATAATCCATCATGCCAATCTCTTTGTCTCATTGCAAATGGTTGTTTAGTTGTTGGACTGTCCATTTCAAAAAAAAAAAATTATTCTCTATTCAGTCAATGCTTAATTGTTATCAAGTGGGTTAGTCAAAGCTGACGCTTTAATAATTGAAAAAGACTTTTCAAATAGAATGATGATAGAAAACTGAATAATCTATTGTTGTATTAACTTTATATATTTATATATATATATATTTCATTGACTGAATTCAATACCAATAAAAAGCTCTTGAAAAACAGTTGATCATCTGATGAACAATAGGGTTTTGGATTGGTTAATTATCGAGTGCACAATTTTAGGTACAAACTGAACATGCATTTCGTGAATTGTGTTGCCATGCAAATCTGTGTTGACCAATAAAAAAACTTCAGAATTTTACTTGGATTTAGTTTGCTAAGAACCAACTTGAGAAAAGAAGTCAAATAGTTCACATTTGATAAATAAACCTAATGTTATTTAATGGCTAGATTGGTTCTCACAGCTGGAAAAGCATCAAGGGAGCAATCACTTCAAAATGCTACGAAGCTTAGAGCCACAAGAAGCACCATTACAAGGAATGAATCAATGTCGCTACTTTGGATAAGATTCAAGAAAGCAGACACAGGAAAGTAGCAGTCAAAATCAGCCATATAAGAGAACAGAAGGCAAACGCACAAGCCGAATATATTGAAGCAAACGAGCAAGTGAACAAGAACATCAGATCTGGAAAAATGTAAATATGTGGAAGATCTAGCGACGACAGCAGAAAAAACTGCAAGCAAAGGAAAAGAGACAAATATACGATATAGGAAAGATGCTGACTGAACAATATCGTAGATCACAAAAGACAGTGAAAAACGAAGGAAGGAAAGTAATCCCAAACATGGAAGAACCACGGAACAGGAGTGTAGAGAACTTTGAAAAACTAATTAATCGACGAGCTTTATTGAACCCATCCAACAACGAAGCAGCATCCATTGACGTCCCAGTCAATATCCACCCAACCAGCAACTGAAACAGACAGACCACAAAACATTAGAGATGAGGCACTGAAAACACACATAACAGTAAATGCTAGGATGATAAACACTCTGCTCAACAAGATTTAACATGAAGAACAAGTACCAACGCACTGCAATACGGACAACTTTTCAATATACCAAAGAAAGGAGATCTCAACAAAAGTGAGAACTACATAGTCATCACTCTTCTCTCAATAACAGCAAAAGTCTTCAACAGAATGTTGTTGAACCGAATCAAAAATTCAATAAACTCTCAACTTCCAGATCAGTAGACTGGATTCCGTAAGGATCGATCATGTACCGATCAAAATGCAACGTCACGGATCATTTTGAACAATCAGTTGGTGGCAGCATCATTGATGAACAAGGCTGATCTGATGCAGATATGAAATCACGGATTGGCAGACCATGGACAGCATTTCTTCAAATAAAGGAAATTCGAAACTCAAAACAACTATCAACAAACACCGAAGTCACAATTTTCAATATAAAAGTTACAACAGTTCTACTATATGTGGCGCATAATTGCAGAACTACGAAAGCCATCATTCAGAAGATACAAGTATTTATTAACAGTTGTCTATGCAAAATACTTCCGATCCGTTGACCAGACAGTATCAGCAACAACCTACTGTGGGAGAGAACAAACCAGATTCCGGTGAAGGAGGAACCCATGAAGAAGCGCTGAAAGTGGATAGGACACACAATGTGGAAAGCACCTAAAGCGCCACAAGACAATCCGCCACTTGGAACCCTCAATGTCAAAAGAAAAGATGTAGACCAAAGAACACATTACACTGAGAAATGTAGACAGACATGAGAAGCATGAGCAAACATTTGACAGAACTGGAAAGGGAAACCCAAGACAGTTTAGGTTGGATAATGCTGGTAGTTGGTTTATGCTTCACTAGGTGTAGTAGCAGTAATTATGTGAATAAAGTGAGAATGATTCTTCCATTAATTAGTGCAGAACTTAGGGGAGTGTTGAAATATACTGACTTTTAAACAACTCACTTTATCATGCAGTCTAATAATAAGTGGAGGCTTTGGTTATCATAACGACTCACAGTTGATGTCACTTATAATTATCGGCAGTAAACAATAATGATTTTTTGCAGCCGTAATTCGCGAAACATCAGTGATTATTTTGATGGTCAGAAGAAAGCCTAATCCAATCGTATCATTGGAGCAAAATACTTAACTGCTGGTTGAACAGAGTTTCACATGAATGGTTTTAGGAGTGCAGTAAGGCTGGTAGAAAGATACATCTCAATGTCACATTTTCAAAATAACAAAGAGCTATTAATTGAAATTGGTTTCATTTAACTAGTTATAAGTTAGTACTCACTAGGTTTAGAAATCATCACTTTTACTTTACATCAAAAGCCTAGTGTATATGTAGCGATAAGAAGTAGGAAACGAGAACAAAGGATCTGTCAGTTATATTCTTTTTGGTATTGACTCGTGGTAATATTTTTGCAGAGAAAACGAAACACTGAGCAACTGGAGCTGAGTGAAATTTTGTTCCCCTGATTAATGACTCTTGATGGATTCAAGGAAAAAAGTACATCGGTGATAATATATATAAGCTTCAGAAAGTAAACAAAACCGAACCTCATCGATTGATGATTGGTTTCGGTCTGTTTATTAATTTTAACTTGATACAACAACTGGTTGTGTTTGAAAATTACGGGGAAGCAAGAACAACAATATTTAAAGAATACAACGAATTGATCCTATTTCTATGGTTTTTACTAAGTACGAGCTATTACGTTGAATTAGTTTGAAAAAGTAATTAGTGAAGAAGTAAGTCATCATAGACGAGGACAAAAATCATTGTTTTGTTCACAATTTAAAGGAAACTCTTGGATATTGGAGAACAAAATAAACTCACCAAAGATAACAAACAAACTCACCATTACATAGCAACACCCCTCTAGATAAGATTGTTATTAATGTAGGCCAAAATTCAAACGATAGATCTATACCAAAGGTACAACTGAAAAAAAACCATACATCAAAAGCATTTGATTCCATTCCAATAAGGAATTTAACAGTCAAACACATGGTGTAACTATGAGTAACCGGCTACGATTTGTTCTCCTTGATATATTCTCTGTATATCTGAAAAAAATAAGAGTCATTGTTTAACATCAATGAGACTGAATCCCAATCAACATATATTGAAGATTAGTTCATTTTGAGTAACTATAAAAATCATCCAGTTAAACTTTGTTTAAACTCTACTTGTCAATTTGTTTAACATTTTGATTTTTTTTTTGATACGTCTGTTTCGTACTCAGTGAGTTCACCTAGACTTAAGTAAAACAAAATTTATTTTAATTGATGATTTAGCTGACGTCATTTTGTAACCCAAAATCGATTCAACAATGATAGACAGATGAAATTGAAATCATTAACATTATGTAAACAAATTAATATGATACTTATACACTTTTAAATGTTACAATGTAAGTGTTGAAATACTAATCATTCCTTAACATTTTAAGTATGAATTTTTCATGAAATGTAAAGATGTTTTCAGTCAGCCTACTCAAGATTTCCGTGATAATATGATGAAATATGCTGGAAATATTTCTCAAATGTAGTTATGACCACTCTTATTTTGTGATTTCCAGGGATTCAGAACCCCTATAATTTTTGTAAGCGGATAAATTGAGTATTAAACAAAAGTAACACTAACTAATATAAGATTTTCATTATAAGATTGTGGGGATTGTTGAGTTTCATGAAAATCATGAATCGATCAATGTTAGACTATAATTAGAAAGAAACCTGAAAGCACTGGACGGCCGTTCCGTAACTGCCTCACACTCGAAACGGGTGAACTCCACTGCTCATAGCTTCTCACTAGAACTGCGAAAATTTCCTCATCAAGCACATTGATCGACCCGTGATTTAAATGAAACTCATTAATTTCCACAATCCTGTGGTGAAAATGATCATATCCTCACTTGTGACTAGCTTCGGGAGGAAATTCTCGGAGTTTTAGTGAGAAGTCTGGACCAACCCTGTTATGTGTAGGCAGTTATCTACCGAAAAAAATGGGTGAGATTGCGCAATACCTTGGATCGATTAAAGTTAGACATTAATACTGTTGGATGCCGGCTCAGTGGTCTAGAGGTAGTTAAGCGTTCGATCGCGAGACCAGAGGGACTGGTTCTGATTCTTACTTGTTGATGAGTCCCATACTAGGACGGAACTGTCATCCAATGCTTCCAGGTTTCTAATGGTGGTCTAACATTGGTCGATTCATGATTTCAATGAAACAGAAGACTGTAGAATCTCACATATAAATTGTTTTGAAAGCATGCTAGCTGAAATTTGGGAGTATTTCATATCGATCATACATGGCTCCAATTATTCATGAAGTTAACAGATAACACACTTCGTTTAACCATAGATTTTTAGATTAATTTGTTAAGTAAAGGTATTTGAGTGTCTAATACCTATTAAACTAAAAGACAAGTTGAATATTGCATGTTTTGTAAATGGATAATGAAATTAGGTCGTCGAAAGACTGTTCAATTTGACTCAGTAACAATTTGCTGTCCCATTAGACAGACTACTGAATAACTAAAGCTGATCATACCTTAGTAATCGCCAAATTGTTTATAAACTACTACAGTCTTTTTGACAAGTGATATGCCGTTTACCGAAGCTATTTATGCTACATGATAAGGTATTCGCCATACATAGTAGCTACTGACAATACAATGTCACCCAATTAGAATGGGTCAGTGAATATTCATAAAAATAACTTATCTAAAATATATCAGAAAAATGTCCAAGATTTAAAGACTAATCAAAACATTGAGAAAGTAATATGTCAAGGAATATGACTAGTAAATCACTCGTCAAAGGCGAAATGATATCAAAGTGTCATTTTCACAATTTAGGCACATACATCGTCATGTAGGTAGGTATAACAGACTATGCGAAGACTTGATGCATGAAATGTGCTTCTACTTAAATCCGTAGATCAATCAGAGTTAGTCAATAAC